TTATACAATAAGTGAGTGTTTAACTATGTTAACAATACACAATAATTCTATGCTTTATCTTTCATCTTCAACTGGATGGTACAATACGGAAAAGTTTTTGTAATCCAATCGTGATGTTTACTGGAAAAATAAACAAAAGATTGAATGAAAACAAACAAACAAACAACCAAAGAAGAAGATGAAGAATATCAACAAAATCTACAAGTAATTTGATCATGTTGAATTCAGCTATTCGTAAGCAAGTTTGTCTAGTTCAATCATCATCATCATCATCATCAAATCATTTCAACAACTTTGGAATGATTTTATTTCATGTGATAGTTTTCATCAGGTCAATTACACATTTACTTATTAAGATCAATAGAAGTTATATGAAGATTTTGTTGGGACGGCTTCCGAGAACTACGACGGAGCCTCCAGAGGTTCTAGAGGAGTCGAAGAGTTCCATCCAATCAGAACGCAGTGGAGCCTTCTAGAACATCAACGTGGCATGCCACTATTGGTCAGTAGTGTAACATGCCTCTTTACGAACTGGATGACTTGTGAGGGTTCTAGCATACAAATGCTCAAGTTATACGCGGTATATTAAGAATCTGAGCACTAGATATAATAGATTCGATTTCTTCCCATTTGTATTGCATTAGAAAACAATCGATATTTACATGAAAAAACTATTCCTGTTACTTGTTATAAACTATTCTGACTTCAACTAATCCACGAAATTGAGTGACACATCCGCCATTGTCTTCAGTGAGTTAATATAACACAACAGACCCAGTTGAACTCCACTGGTCACTGATTCTCATTATAACTCCAGGAAATACCTCTTGAAGTCAGTCACCAGTGAGCATGTGTTGAATAATATCAGAAGTGGCTTTGTGTGAATATTATAGCAGTTTTAATAGTTGAGATCATGAGTCAATTGAAGATAGACCACTATGGAAAACCTAGAAACACTAGACGTCCGTTTAGACCTGTTGTGAGACTCCTCACCAGTGCACATCTACCATCCCGCTTAGCGAGATTCGAACCCGGGATCTATTGGTCCCATGATTTCATTTATTAAAATAACTACAATATCCACAAAAAATCCCATCTGACATGTTATTGTACTATTGGATTATTGTATTGAAACTTATTGTCCTCACTATCACTGTTCTGATAAATTTTATTATTGTCAATCTGTTGACCGATGAATGACCTAATAAGAAACATCATGTATCATTCATTGAAAGCATGAATATTATCATTTGACTTGAGAAAAAAACTCTTTTCTAGTTTAATAACAATTGAAAAACATTTTCACAGTAAAGAAAATGAAAGTCCAGTAACAACTGCCTAGAGCTTATTAAGGCATGAGTATTAGTAGTTGACACATAAGATGTTTGTATACATACCTGAAATAGCAACAATTATTAGAAATCAATACTTAGATTTGGAGATCTAATCAGAAGATTGAATTATTCAAACCTAATACCTAACTCAAACCTCATAATTTCTTTCCGTTTAACTCAAATATTGATAGCATAGAAGTGATTGAATGCATGTTCACTAAGTGTTGTCCAAAACTGATTAAATTCATAAAATGTATAGTAGTGTCAACTACTCAAATGTTAAAGTATTTATAATTGTATTGGGTTAAAAGGGTTTTGAGCATCTACATAGTTGCATCATATGGTTTAGCTGTGTTATTCAGAATTCTAAGTAGCTGAGATGATATAGTTCTCCTGAAACCAAATATAATCATTAACCACTTTTCCAACATATACATGGGTGAATCAGATTGCATATGCAAACCCGTTACACTTATTTACGTTTGCGAAACCAGGTAGTGTCTCTACTCCTCAGATTAAACAAGTGTGTAACTCGGAACTGACTAAACAAACCAATAACTGTTAGGTCAGTCAGACCGAACACCTTCGAAAATATTTCAATTATGTGATATGGAATGTGACTTGACAAAATTACTTACTCATTTTTTCCTGAAATGATTTCGGTTTAGGACTCCACGCACAACCGAGTATGTAAACCGGTATACCGGTTAAAATGATCAAAATACCATATACTACAAAGAGATGAGACAATCGAAAATTCAGTAGACAGATGTAATCATTGTTATATTAGGAAAATAAACCATTCGTGAAATCAGTTCCATTTAACTAAAATGATGAGAAGATTACTTTATCGTTCAGTAGTACAGATCAGATAGTTTTCCATAAAACTTAAATTTCGATCATTATTTAAGTCATAAAGTGACATAGGAATAACCGACAAGAAGAGCCATAGGAAAACTGAACTAGATTTTTCTTAGTTCTGAACTATCTCAACAATGAAGGGCTACAACAAGCTATAACATCGAATACATGCGATATTTTGGTCTTGTGAAGAAATGTCGGTTTCTGTACCATTGAATAGCAAAAGTTTAGTTCGGTTATTCTACTAACATTAGTTTTCGTTAGCAATACACCACGATTTTGCGCGAAAGTCATCGATAAGTTATGATCTCGTCTCTCGCCATTTCAACTCAGTAGCTCACAACATACTAACTAACTCGAAGCTAGTTACTTATGAGATTATGGCTGCTTGGCTTGTTGTGTGAAATTCAATCTCCATATTCATAGTTGAATAATATAACGAACTGTTATTCCTACATTCAGAAAGTAAACATACGAATTTATAGAACATAATTTATAACAAATGACCTACATGATTCTTGAGGTGATCCATAGAAAGAGAAAATTAATAGAGATGCAGTAACTACTAAGTAGATAATGGCGAATATTATAGGAGCCTGTAATAAATATAAATAACGAAAAAATAAAAATTCGATGATATAGTAGTAGTATTAGTAACAGCTGAAAATATTAAATTAGATGGTAGCGCGGCCTGTGCTACGTATATCGACATAAGTAATATATAACTCAAGTCAGGAATAGAGTGTCTGGCAACTGAAGGTCGAGAAGATCGAGGAGAATTGAATGGGAACAGAAAGCGATTGGTAAGGAAATGCAGAAACAAAGAAGTCTATGACGATTGATTGACATTTTGCAAATGAAGTATTCATTGTATGGTTCTCAGATTTTACTAAGATGTTCTTTAATGTTGCATTAAATTAGATTCGACTGTCCCCACGTGTGTTCTCGTTCACTACATCAATAGTAGAAAAGATCTTTTCAATAGTTTAAAACGATTTTAATGCTTTGCTTCAAAATTTTCATCAACGTAACAGCTTTAAAATGATTTTTCTAATTTTATGTCAGTTCATAAAACTAATGTCTAATTTCAACACCGTACAGAACGAATCTTCCAAGAGAAAACTACTGGTTGAATAGAAAAAGTAATGATGCAGTGCCTAAATTGATGCAAAAGCTAACATAACAATCCAATGCTGACATTGTACAACTCAATAAAGTTGTCCAAAACAAAAGTTAACTAGAACTAGTCATGATTAATAACAATTCAATGCAATCATATATTAATGTAATAATTAGATTCATGAGTCCATTGCAGCTAGACAACCATGGAAAACCTTGAAACACTGATAGATCATTTCATGCAAGTATGGGACTCCTCAGAATTGCACATCCTCGACCCAGAATATAATATTCTCATGTGAACACTTACGCTTTAGGCCACTGAGCAGGCATGGTATGATGTTAATGCCTAAATTCAACCAATCCACGAAATTACGCCACCTCCACCGTGGACTACCTTTAATTGACTCATCAATTCAATTAATAAACTACTATAATCTCCACAAAACCACTCTCTCATTATAATCATATAATCTTAAGGAATAATATCGCAAACCCACTTCAGAAATTTTAATTTACCTTAACCGGACGTTGAATATTAGGACGGGTAATTCTGAAAATTACTACAATCAGAACACAAAGACCGATTGCCAACCATTGAACAAAACCCATATAATTCATAAGTGTGAAAATATCTCCAGCAAGCAAGTAAATTATTGATACGATACACTAAAAGAGTAATCAGTTAAAGTTAAAAATAAGCAATAGAATCACAATTCACACACTGAACAATAGTAATTCATATAAATCACAATTTATAATGATAATCAAGTAGGCGGCCTGCTTGAATATCCAGGATACCTGTTCCTGACATCTGGATATTTCAACAAATTTTCTGTTTTTTGTTTGTCGTAACACACCATTATGCCTATTAGTCACATAACCTATTCAGGCATCTTTGTCAAAAGTTTACCACATTTCGCTGTACAAGTGACAAAAGAGCTCAATCAGAGACATCGTGGTTGCTAGCAATATGCATCGAAAACAATGTAGATTATTCACATGTCGAGTCCTGAACTGCTAACATTTAACTGGCGACTACTCAACATTTATCACAACGGTCGATCAAGAAATAAGAAAGGGAAACTTGTTAAGATCCTTCCTTCGTGCTGAGATTTCTGTATTGTACCAAAAACATAATATTACATAAAGCCACCAATAATTATTTAGTTGAACCTTGAACAGATCAGTAACAGTAAGATTTAAAGTTTAAAATGATTTCATTACTTTATTTCAAAACTCCTCATCAGCTAAAACGTTTAACCCTTTACACAATTACATGTTTAGAAATAAAGATTTGAGACAATCTATTATGTAGATTTGAAGTTAATTTTCAAAGGTATCATGTCTCTTTTCAAACTTGTATTTCATCTTAACCAATTAAAGTTTGTCTAAACTATGTTTTCATTCGTAGTCTTCTTTGAAACTGTAAAATGAAAATCATTGATCTTGGTGTGTTTCAATTACTACAAAGTCATTATTGTCAAAGTGACTCACAATCTAATTACATTTCCAAACTTATTATCATTAAATGTCATCCTACAACCAGTTTAAACATATTCGACATTGTTCCAAATTAGACATCAAATGTTCACATTTAAAACGTACTAACTGATTTGTAAGGATGCAAATACTTTTTATTATCTATTTATGTTTGACGAAAGTAGTGTTATGCAAGGAACTCACAGTAAACAGAACAGCCGGAATAGGTGTTAATCGATCCGTGTGCAAGTAACTGATAAACGCTGGCATTTGTTTGAGCTGACTAGCAGCAACAAATATTCTCGATGTAGTTAATATAGTTCCGTTAGCACTCCCAAACGTTGAACAAGCAACAAATATTGGCATTATCCACCAAAACATTCCGTATATTCTATTAGCAAATGTCTGTTTTTGTAAGTAAACGGAAAAAATGGTTTCAAAGCAAATCCAACTTATTCAGTAATTTCAATAGTGTAATAAGAAGCCGAAGGGTATCAGAACGATGTGATATAATAACGCAAAACATTTCGAACAATCTGATCACATATACTTATCAAAAACATTTGTATATAAAAATAAAAGTCAACTAGACTAGAAATGGAGGGTAAGAGGAAATGAGGAATAATAACGGAATAATGTGAAAACAATTTGAAACCTCATCACTTCGGATAAAAAGCTAATATTACCAGGGTAATTTTATGGTGAGAACAAACTGTATTTGAATACACAGAGGGGATTCGAATTTTCGTATAGCTAAGGCTTCAATGAACCTTAGTATACACCCATTTGCACTTTTGTACAAAACCACAAAAGCCGAGTTAAGATCAATCTTATGACCTGTTTCTATTATGAGTTTGGCAATAAGGGATGATGGATGTTTATCCTCTATTCTTAGTGGGTCATTTGATTTTATTTGTTTCTCCAGACATTTGGGTACAAGTTCACACAACCTGGTTTTAAGATCACTATTACTACTTATGTTTGTGTGCGAGCACAAACACATTTAAATTGGTAAATACAGTGGGATGTGGCTCAATCGTTTTCTTGTCTTCTAGGTGTTCGATGAGGCATGAACCTCGTTGTTTTCTTGGTAATGACCTTCGCTGCGTAATATGTCTTATTAATGGCTGACTTAAGTATTTGTTTCAATAAAAGGCTACTTGAATCACCTATAAATGGTAAGGTGATGCATGAATCTCAGAGGATATCCAGTTTCCGTTAATGCTTTATTTAGCAACCTAACATCATCATCAATGGCGTCATTTGTACAAATACGATCAAGTCTGTTAAATAGACACCTCTACAAACCCCGTTTGTATTGCACGAGACAATAACTAAAATAAAGAAGGTATTGAACTGTCCAAAATGGTGTGATCTTGAACGGAGAAAATACATTAGTAATATTCTCGGCTAATAGAAAAATTGATCAAAAGCATCAATACACCAGTAAAAATACTATCCCACCTACCACAGCCACAGCTCTTGTGGTCAAAATCTCTGCAACTGGTACGACTGTTACATAGGCTACATTAGCAGCTGTGTAAACTAGAGTCACTAGTAAGCACGATACCACAATTGCTATGGGCAAATGTTTCCTGGGGTTCTTCATTTCTTCAATCATACAATTTAAGTAATTCCAGCCAGCATAAGCAAATAAGCCACTGTAAAATGCATTAGCTATTTTACCAGGACTCCAGTCCGAATCAACAAAAGGTTCTTCCAGCTCTTCATAACGACCTAAAAGAAGTTAAGCAATAAAGTACAATCCGAGATATCTAAATGAATTTACTAACTAAATAAATATATCATGGCATAAACAGTGATAACAATCACAAATACATAGAGATAATAAATCCTAATCAATGCCTTAGAAGAGATAAATCACAGTGAATTACTAACAGCAATTGAAAACACTGAAAAGGAGAATGTAATTTAGACAACAGATGTACAGACTAAACAAGTTAACTTTTTTAAAACAAATATTGAGTCATTAATTAACCATCAGAAATGAAATGAATTTTTCTATCAATGTTTTATGGCAAATTGTTGAACCAAATGAAATATTCAGTAGACGCTCAACTTCGAGATCAACAGGCTGATAATCCGTCGGATACCGACTAACTCGCTAAAATACTCATCATTTTTGAACCATCAATTAAATGGAATTCATCACTATACATTTCCTTCCCTGAGTATGCAAGAGCATTTGATAACGTGGATAAGCAAACTTTATGGAAACCTCTTCGATACTAATGAGCACCTAAGAAGATTGCTAGCATCATACGCAATTCACATGACGAACAACAAGGCTGCTCATTCTCTCCCTTCCTCTTTCTTCTGGTGGTTGACTGGATTATGAAGACCATAAGATCTGAGGGGAAGCACGGAATACAATGGACGACTTGGATGCAACAAGATGATTCAGACTTCTCAGATGACCTGCCTCTTCTATCCCATACATACCAGCTGATGCAGATGATGGTAACTAATGTTGCAGCAGCCTCAACAACAGTAGGCCACAAAATACAAAGAGGAACAAGTAAGATCCCCAAATACAATACGGAGAACGCCAATCAAATCACACTTGATGAAGAAACTCTGTAACAGGTGGAATCTTTCATGTGTCTAACTTGAGCATCATCGTCGATGAACGTGGGGGATCCGATGCAGACGTAAAAGCGAGGATTGGCAAAGTAAGGACAGCATTCCTACAGTTGAGAAACATATAGAACTCAAAACAGCTGTCAACCAATATTAGTCAAAGCCTTCAAAACGAACATCACGACAGTTTTACTGTATGGAGCTGAAACTTGGAGAACTACCACAACCATCATGAAAAACGTAGAAGTATTTATAAGTAGCTAGTCACTTGGAATCCTAAAGGAACACGTGAACGTGGAAGAACAAACAACACCTTGCTCAGGGAACAGGAGATAGACAACAAAAGAATGAATAGCAGTTGGAAACAGCAGGAATGGGAACACAGGACAGAGCTGGTTGGAAAATACCAGTCAGTGTCCTATGCTGCACGAAGGATAACAGACGTAAGTAGGACGAAGGATCATTTTACTCATTCATAATTTATTGAACAATCACTCTATTCAGATTGAAATCTTTGAAAAAATAAAAGTAGTCTGACATGTCATTAGAAATGTCATATATTCAAAGAGCGATAACAGAAATGAAATGTTCAAAGGTTGTTGCATTGAAACAACGTTTAATGTAAGAAATATTCAATTAATTAATTAATTATGTGTATTCTTGACAGAATACAGGGAAGATTATTTTTCTCAAGCTTGATGACTAGTATTGCGAATTTTTAAACTCATCAAAGTGCGTTTTATCACATACAGTCGTACAGTTTTGTTCTTCGAAAACTTTTATACAACACTCACTATTCTGTAAACAAAATATCATTCTTATTGTAGACTAACTTAACATACTTGTTGCCATTTAGTTTAGATTAAACAACCACTTCATCTGAAATGAGAAACTCCTGAATGATGCACACCAATAAAATCTTCATATCAAGACAGAACCACACATAGTTCAACAAAAATCACAAAACAAAACCGACTGTAACTATTATAGATAACAAAATGTATTTAAAATAATTTTAAAGAATGATATAATTAAATTACCAAATCCAATCTGTACAAATCCGGTTACAATGATCATTATAAGAGCGGCAAGTTTCGCAAGTGTAAATATATCTTGTATTCTGGTTGAAAATTTGATTGAAAACGAATTTGCGAAGCTTAAAAATGCTAAGCAAAATGAAACAAGATGACAATAAATTGGGAAATTTGCATTAAAATATCATCAGTGTGATCGTTTTAAACATTTCCAGATGAAAAATCATTAGTAATAGTGAAAACAGCAAACTATTGTGAAATAGTAACTCACCAAATACAATGGTAGATGTGTCGCTCAAATTCGTGGATTGGTTGAATTTAGACATTAACACCGTTGGATGCCGGCCGCCTCAGTGGTCTAGTGCTTAGGAGCTCGTGCTCGAGATCGATAGGTCCTGAGCTCAAACCTCGTGAGACGAAATCGTGGATACGCACTGTTGAGGAGTCCAATCATAATGCAAAACGGCCATCCAGTGCTTCAAGGTCTTCCTTAGTGGTCTTGCTTCAATTGACTACTGATCTCAACCATTGAAAACACTACATAACCTTCTTCTAAGTGAACTTCTTCCAGTATCTTATTATCAACTTAATTTATCACATATCGATTCCAGTGATACTTTTAGTTTGACAGGTAATTAGATAATAAACGAACCGTTTACTATGTAAACAATGACTAGAATATATTATTTATCCCAAACAGTTTACTGAAGTTATAGTTTGGTAACTATCAGTAGTATTGAGATCTATAAGCCAACTAATCAAAATATTTAAAGTGTCAAAAAACAGAATGTTTACTGATGTAATACATTTGAATTCATCTGGTATTAATTATGATTAAATCGTTGTCATTTTGCAAGTCTATCAAAAGCATAATTTACGATTGAAGGCTTACAGTCACCAGAAATTAACACTTCTCAGTTTTCCTTTATTTACTCACAACTCATAATTTAACTGTCATCAGTTTTTCACTTTCTGATTCGTATTTCGCTTATTCACATTTTGACACTTTCAGCACTTATCACTTATCACTCAAACAACTTTTATTCAATTTTACTGGTTTCAGTCCACCATTAATTTCATTCATCATTCTTCTGTCGTACAAGTTTTGAGTTAAAATCCCTACAGATCACATACATTTGGCGGGAATGTCGAAAACAATCAGGATTTATGGTATTTTTCTCAAATGTTATTATACTCTATTCAAATTTAAAGAACAAACGCATTTTGATGGAATGATTCAGGTCATCCATTTCAAGGAACGAAGTAGCTGCTTACTAGTGATTTATGTTTATCAGCACTGTTATACTCCCACCAAGCAGCGTTTATCATTTTTATGTTATAAAACTGCATTTTGTGGGGACCTTTGTTGAGTATCTTCATCTTAACAACTGCTCTCATTTTCCGCTTATCAAAAATATATTTCGGCACGTCTTAATAAATAAAATGGAAAAAACGCTGTAGGGAAATACTTTTAAACATACTAATACATAAAACCGCCAAAATCCTGATCAACGTAAAGGGCAGTGGACAGTCTGGATACAAAGGTACAACAACATACTCCCCAAATGTCAAAGCTACAATAGCGATAGTTCCAGGTCTTACGACCATTACTTCCATCCACAAACGCAAAAATCCAATAAATGGTCCAAATGCTTCATATACATAAATGTAATCCCCTCCGGATCGCTCTATTATCGTGCCAAGTTCTGCATAACAGTACGCTCCGAGCATACTAAAGATCCCACATGCAGCCCAGATGATTAGACTAGCTCCTATGCTTCTGACATTCAGCAAAATACCAGTAGGACTGACAAATATTCCTGAGCCAATCATTGATCCTACTATGATGGTGATACTGGTTACAAAACCAATAGATCGCTTCAGTTTTACATCATCTGGTTTATCTACGACAACGGTGACGTCTTCGTCCAACTTCTTGTTTTCTGCCATGCCACTACAAGATAAAATACATTATAATTTGCACTTGCAGTAATACAAAGTGGTAAAACGACTTTAAATAAAATGACGCAAGTTATAAAATATGTTTGACTTCAATCATATGGCTGTCAGAGATTCAACTTTCACAAAGTAAGATAAGATTAGCTTTAAAATCACCAGAATTCATCAAAAAGTGAAAACTATTTTTACCTTGATTTTGAACAACCCAACCATACAAGTGAGATGGAATCGAAGACGATAGAGGTATTATGACATCGGGTTAGTTAAACTTAAGCCAAATACTAATGGTAAAACTTTGAGCCATCATATCTTCAGCCATAAACTTTGACTTTTAACGAGAATATGAATGAGAAGCTACATGTGGTCTGTAATACAATCAAATTACCTTAAGAGATCTCAGTTTAGACAAATTGGTGGTTTTCCCAAAGACAACTGCTCTTTTAACCCAGTTAGATACGTTGACGCTTGTGCAATTTTTCAGTACAAAAGGTGAGGAAATACTGCTACGTTTAGGCTAAATACATGTTTTTGAAAAACAACATAGTTGTACCCACATAAATTGAATAAATTTTTATTTCGACAGACATTTTATCGAACAAGTTCGAAATCATGGTTGTCAAAAATATCTCTCGATAAAAAGGTATATCCTGTTGTTCTAGATTTTCAATAATCAGCTGACCCGAGTCTCAAAAAACTCAGTCCGTCAAATAATTATGAACTGTTCGGCGCAAACAAGTGAACGGAGTACAGATAATTTTGAGCCCAGTTACTAGTTATCAGTTATAATTTAATCTTTTAGTATTGATAACGAAAACTTAACATGCGACTTTTAAGCTCATTCTCAGAATACTTATATTTATTTGTAAGGGTATGAACCTTCTTTTTCTCGGTTTTGGGAACCAAATTTTGATTGTGCTCTTTTGTAATATGTGTATACTGGATGAGTAGCTACATTAAACCATTAAGTTACAAATTTTTAAGTAACACTAGATAGTGGCTTGTAGTGAAATCTGGGTTTGACTACAAGGACAATGACCTTGGCTAGAAAATTATTTACCGTGAGTAAAAGTTTTGTGTAAGCAAGCGTATGTTTGGTGATTTTATGAACTAACGATTCCTTTGTGCCTGATGACTGCAGTATCTAGAATTCCAAATACAATGCGTTCATTCGTGTTCGCCTTGTACTTCTTTGTTAAATTGCGTCATTTCTGGGATTCCTTGTTTGCATAATAATTCAACTACTCTTAGTCACAGCATGCATTCAGAAATACAGTACGAATATTTATAACCAGGGAATTCTGTTCGCATCTTGTCAGTTTATTGAGTTTAACATTATAAACAGGCTAGTGTTGCAAATGATAAAAATCCACATAGTTAATAGTAAACCAGTTTTCCAGAAAAAAAGGTTAACTAGAAAAAGTAGGGTGAATTTAGTCAGTAACTAATCTATTGCATTTATGATTTAGCCAACCTGGTAAACAAACTGTATATCCCTATCAAAAACCATTTGAACAAAGTAGAAGCACTTTTGTGATCTAGATTAATATAAACGTGTTATGCACAATAGAAACACGAACTTATGTAAAAAACAATAAAATTTTTCATGACATTAAAAGTGAGTATCTCTACAAATAACTGAGAAAAACACTACATACAGTACCCATAACTGTAAAAATAACAAATATTTCACTTATAACTGTACTTGGAAACTAACAATTATAATGACATTTATTTACGACATTTTATTTTACACCTGACTGAGCATGTTACACTTTAGGCTCTGACAGATACTGTGCAGTGTTTATGTGCATCAATAATCCGCATAGTAACTCGTATTCAAAATTATTTTAATACATCCCTGACAGTTTCTTAGTAAACACGTGAGGAGTTAATAACATTAAGGACTTCAGAAGTGCATTTTATATTTACTACGGATGCAAAAAATTAATTTTAGCATTTCTTTAAATTTATGGTTCTAATGAGTTCACTGATTTTGTGAAACAAAGCCGTGATTCGGTCAATTGTCTTTAAATATACAAACACAGTAACTAGCTGAAACACCATAGGTCATCACAGTGGACTTTTAACTGCCAAAGGTAATTCCCTGAGTTGTTCTGCTGGACACCTTAGGTGACATATTTACAAGTAGAAGACATTTTCTATTTAAATCAAGATTACAAAAAATATACATTTAATACGGATTTAAGAAAAAACTGACATAGGTACTGACGATTTAGTAGGCTTCACTCAGAAGTTGAAAAAAATAATGGGTAAATGATTTTTAATTACATCTTAAATAAACCATAAGCTACATATAAGGTAAAAACAACATGTCAACAGATAAATGTTTTTTTTCATTTAAGACGTATATTATTATTTATTATTTGAACACATAAACATCAGTACGAAACACCAAATACATATGCACCACACAAATCTCATATGATATGTGTGAGGGCTGTGATACTGCTCGAGTGCCCAAACCGAAGCAGGTGGTGTTCTTAGGGGGCCACACCCGGAGCCTTCGACCTGAAGGTCTGATCCACAAGCCAATATAGGAGATGAAGTCCTATGGCAAAGGTCCACCTTCTTCTTGAAAAATATGCACTTATAGAGCAGATACCACTTGTTCGGGTAAGGCGTCCCAGTCATTGACAACTCGATGAGAAAAGCGGGACCCTACTTTAGGTTTATTAGATCGCGGCTTGTGAATCTTCTTGCTATGACCTCAGAGATTATTAGTGCTAGTGGGAGCAAAAAGGTAAGTTATATTAACACCCAAATCATAATTGAAGATACAAGGTGCCAGTATAAGGTCAGCTCGTGTCCTACAATACGACAAGGGAAAAAGGTTTAGGAGTTGCTGGAGTTCTCTATCAGAACGCGTAGTATCAGAGCCTCACTTTGATACGTCAAGAGATCAGATTTTCACAGCATTGCAGATTGCCAGAATAAAAGCAGGTTACTTGACCTCCAATGTTCGTGTTTGAAGACTGAAGACTATGATATTACTATTGAACAAATATTTCAAGTCATCAAACTGATGAAAATTATAAAGAGAGACAAGTCGTAAACGATCCAAAACGTCCGCCTAGGCGTGCTTTAAGAACAAAGAGATTGTCCTCTCCAGAAACAACCATTCCTGTACCCAATGCTTGAAGGTTCCCAAACCGATACAGAATAAATTCAGTGCACGATTCCATTTTTTCTCAACGAAATGATAAGTGTTGAAATTTTCTGTCCGAAAAAATGGTGTCAACATCCTAAGTGGACACTTACAATAAAATGCTGGATGTTTCAATACGCTGTGCAACGGACTTTCCCTCACAATTACTGAAATCGCATGTTATGTACTAAGATAATGCTGCCTAAATTCCAAGTTGTTATTTTCGCTTCATTATTTTTACTATTCGTTTTATTGACTTCAACATTATTTCTCTTGAAGGAGTCTCAACTGCAGTTTGTCGTGCTAAATATCTGGTTACTCTTTCATTCCATTATTTTCAAATGGAAACATTGTAGACACCGATGAAGATTGACTAGCCGCTAACATTTTACAAGCTGACTCAAGTGAAGTGGAAAATCGTTTCACAAATTGTCGAAAGTCGGTGCATCAAATGCGAAGTTCTGAAACTTCTAGTACTGTTTTACATCGACAAAGAAAAACCACTCCAGATCACTATTTTTTTCAATCATAGAAATTTCACAGCCTGGTAATCAAGACCGTTTCGAATTCCCGAATGAAAAATGATAAACACATATTAAAAACACAGTGAAATTATAAATCAAGAGGCTTACCAGAAACTGTCAATCAGAACGAAGAGAGACTCTTATTAATGTCAATTGGAACGTCAAGTGCGCACGATATGTTATAAATACTTTGTAAAGACTTCGTCAACAATTTAAACAAGTAGAAGTTTCAAACAACAAGTTGAGTCACTTGCAAATACCAAACCAAATAATCCTAGAAGTTTGGTTGTTGAAAAAGATAAATGGTCAAACAATCGAGGTAGTAATACTGGCGATCAATAAACAACAATCAGCGTAAACTTCGTTAGTACCTGCTGAGCTAAATTAAGCTTCGAGCATTCTTTTAGAAGATTCGCCTGAGGAAAGCACTTATGTGGCTCCTAGTAGGAAGTCACACAAATTACTGATGGGAATAACGAAAATGGTTTAGTGAAGTTTCGTGCGACCACCTTAGTTTTCTATCGTGAATGAATGTCTTTTGAATGTGACATATTAGCGAGACGTATGAGCTGACTATTCGGTGAAGTATGAATAACACAATACACCATGATCACGTCTTTCTTAAGCACCTGATTATGAACTTTCTAGGGAGCTGAATTGAATTTATTTCCAGTAACACAAAAAGGATAGTCCTTTAAATAAATGGTTCCAAATGGTTCCGACAACACAAGCTGTTTAAAATGGACAGTGGTATATATCGTTTGAGTATATTTTATAGTACTGAGCGTTTAATTACGCATCGAGACCAGTGTCTTCGCTTTAACTGAATTTATCATCAGTACTTCCTGAGTACAGAAATATAAGTGGGCACTGGCATTTTTCTTTCCTCGTTGAGTATGTCTTTTTGTAATTGCTGAAGTCGGACTTTTTATTGTTGCTAGGTACAGTAATACGCAAACCTTTTTTCGTGTTCAGTGTCTGTCAACTATCAAGCTTTAAAAGATACTTTTCTATAGATCAGTTTTCGCTGTTGTTCTTCATGTGAGATCACAAAACAAATCAATGGCATGAGTAAAACTTCGCCGTGGCAGACTTGACTGCTATTTCCTTGTCGATGATGAAATCTAATGTGCCAACTGCAATAAAAGGTGTCGCAATGTGTGCACCTGACTCACACCGACTGCGTTTA